TATAAAGCAAACTATATAGCAAAGAGACCAAAGAGTTAAAGGCTGTACCTGTCTCATCATACACTGCAGCAGCCCTTGCATTAGCTTAACCACACTCTGAAAAAAGCAAAAAACATAATGATGTTAATAATACAAGTATTGATTTCATCTTGTAAAGAAAAGAGCAGCACAATATTCTGTATAAACTTATATTTACACAATATATATATTTATTTATATATAATATACTGTATATAATTAGATTTATTTAAAGAAATTAATACTTTTATTCAACAAGGACGCATTAAACTGATCAAAATCTACAGTAAAACATTTTATAATGATATTTGTATTTTGTTGGTAAATTTAAAGGCTTTTTATTTTTTCTCAACTTTCATGGTTTCCACAAACATATTATTATATTTTTTTTTTAAACAAATGTTATTTGGGGTTTCAAATGACCCCGAACAGTGCATAAGCAGCACAACAGTTTTCAACATTGATGAATAAATATTTTTTTAACACCAAATTGAAATAATAGAATGATGGCTGCTGAAAACTCAGCTTTCATCACAGGAATAAATGACATTTTAAAATGTATTCAAATAGAAAAAAGTTAAATAATAATATTTCACAACATTACTGCTTATACTGTATTTTGACTAAATAAATGCATACTTGGTGAGCATAAGAGACTTCTTTCAAAAACATTGAAAAATCTTACTGACCTCAAACCTTTGAACGATTGTGTATATATATATATATATATATATATGTAACAGTTTCATGGCAGCTGTTACAGTCTTTGGTATGAGTAGTTATCCAACAACCTGTTACAGTACTCAATAACAATGTACTACTGAACAATGCCAGAACAGCTGGTCATGCATTGAAGTTCCAGTCACCTGTTCAAGCTCGTAAGCTTTGGCTTTGTCCTCATCACGGTCTGCATTCTTGCGGTAAGCCATTCCGAGCCCCCACACTGCCAAGATGCTGTAAACATTATCTCTGACCCAGGCATCCTTCTGCTGCTCGCTAGCTGGCAGTAGACCAGTCACTGGATTCTATATGGAGAGGACAAACCCATCTTTATTAGTGACTTAGTTTACTGAATTTACTTTATTTTTAGAAATACAAGCTCCATCTGATTTACGCAAATTTTCAGAGCATTTTATTTTATGTTTTACATTTTTAAAAACTAGATACCTGCTGAAAAAAAAAGTTAAATCATTCAATAAATAAAAATCCAACATAGCTATGTTGATCACTTATTATTACTTCTGTCAGGACCACTATCGTCAAAATGATAGATACTTAGCATAGTTTGGTTTGGCGGTATGGTTCTGTTCTGGGCAAAAACCTCCCTGCCCATCCATGCAGCCTGTCATGAATGAGCAGGGAGAGCAGCAATAATAACCCCCCCAGGGTTAACAGAACAGAACAAGGCAGATATCATTAATGTACTCAATGATATTTAAGTGTAACACTTTATTCAAGATAAAGGAGTCTGATTAGCAAGGAATATCAGAAAGCTAAGTCCTGACTGTGGCAAAAGGTGGAGCTGGGGATGGAGGAGGGTAATTTGCTCCGAAGCAAGCTGAAAAGCTGCTGAATAATACTGAATACAGCTTATATAGGAATGCCGCGATAGGTGTCGTATTCCTATAGGTAGATGTGATCAGCTGAGAATCAGCTGATGCAAGCTTGACTCACGTGACCTGCCAGAACTAACGCTAAAGCTTAATTTATACAGTTTCTTGTGTTGTGCCTTGTGCATAAAGCATCAGCTCTGCTTTAAAGAAATTCACATGCAACAGATAATACAAATATTTTCCTCACTCATAGGTTATTTAAAGGTGACCTTTGTTCAAGCCTTATTTATTTTTAGATTCCTCCTGTCAGAATGGCCCCAATGGTGCAGAAGAATCAAATCTCAACCACAAGAAACTAGACAGGACTGTTTTTTTAATTAATAATTCAGTTAGACATTAGAAACGATACTGATTGTATATATACTGAGAGTACTGCAGAACACAACTCTATTCTAGAATTGAAATAGATCAGATTATAGAATTATTAGAATAAATCAGAATATATTCAATAACATATATAATATAGATTAGAACAATGGAGTAAAATAGAATAGTAGGGAGTAACATAGCAAAACTGAACAGAATAATACATTATATAGAACAGAATATGTAATCGAACAGAACAGAAAAGACTAGAGTAGAAGAGAACAGCATATATATAACACACTAGACTAGACTAGACTATAATAGAATAAAATAGAATTCTCAGTCATATTTTGAACAAACCTGGTGGCATAATATTGTTTCTTGGACAAGTCTGGCAAATCCATCCAACCTCACTCCTGAATTACTGCGGCTCCTCATGCTGTCATCTATTTATGATCCTGACATGGAATTTAAGAAGATATGAAAGAGAAAACCTTCTGCTTCCTGGTCGATTAGAGGAAGAGGAGAGCATGCAATCAGATCTTTACTGTAGTAGCTTATCAGTGAGTCGTAAAGACTAGCCAAGTCATGTCCGCGGTGTTGTCCATCCATTTAGTCCATAATAAAAACGATTAAAATAAACAAGCCCACCACACAAACAGCATTAAAGCTCTGCATGTTAATAAAGTATCGCACATCCCGCATGAATTCCGATGTTGACAGCAAACGTGAGCCCGCCCACATGATGACGAACGGCTGTTTGAGTGACAGGAAAACCCGGAAGTTCAGTATGCCTTTCGCCAGCATCCAGGGACAGATGGAAGATTTATAGCTATTTTAAAGAAGCATTTCTTTTCTTAAGAGCTTGTTTAGGTTGTGAATGTATTTTCTAACCATTCAAACCTATTCCTCGTGCTAAGCGCTACCAAGACCTTAAATAAACGTTAATTAAAGAGTCCGTTTAGGTTATCCGTTTGTCATTGGGGTATGCCTACGGTGTGCGCTCTGGACCAAACGCGATTTGTTTTTATGTAGAAGCTCGTCTTTTCATTGGTTCACGGTGAGTGCATTAAAACACAGTGAGGAGGACATTGACACTGAAAGCTAAAAGTAAAGTTTCTCTAGTTTTATGAGGCCAGTGTGATGTTAGCCTGGGCCATGTGCGTTTAACCCTTTAACTGTCACCCCCCCCCATTTTTTTAAATAGGCATGCAGGTGCACTATCCAAACTTAAATTGTTGTAATTTATGAACACTTACAGACATAAGGTTGGTCTCTTTTTAAAGAAGAAAATCAGCAAATTATCGCAAAAGTGGAATTTTTTCAAAATATTTAAGTATCAAAAAGTTATAGTAGTTTAAATTTACTGTAAAGAAAATGCACTATATTAATTTTATTTTATATATAATAAATATTTTACTATGTAAAATAATATTTTACTTATGTCTAAATAAGTTATGTTCCAAATTTGAAGTTGAGATTTTATTTAGGGCGTTATACCACAAACAGCCACCGGGTGCCATCCAAACTCCATTTAATTTTTTTTAATGCATTTTTCTGTCTCAAATGTCTAGATTTCTCTGTTAATATTGCTTCTATCTCAAAATAATCCTGAGACTCAGACCTTTCCAATGATATGTTTTTTGTCAAGATTATAAAAAGTTTTGATTTTAAAAGACCGTAATTCATTTTGTAATATGACACTTGACACCGCCCACTAAGGGGGAGGAGACCGCCAAAAGATTTTTAAGTACCATTTCCATGGTAACGCAATGTCTGATTTCGAAATGGTTTTCACAGGATGAATCTTGGGCTTCTAAGCTTTCAATGATATATGATTTATGATGATTGATAAAAGATTTGATAGAGAAAAAAGACAACAACAAAAAAGCGCCAAACGTCCACAGTTAAGGGGTTAAAGAAACAGTTTCATCAACACTGTTCAACTGTTCAGTAAATATACTTATAACTTGACACTCACAACAAAAGTGCCACACATTTCTGGTCTGTATATTTTCTTCAATGTTCAGAGACTCCGAGTTTCAATAACAAAAACCACAGACACCTCAGTTGTGTTACCACAGCTTTATTTATTGTACTACAATTTCAGTTTGACAGCAACTATGAAAATCTTCAATCAAGTGTTCAACAGCATGTCAAATGTTCCTTTTTGGTTCTTATTAAGTGACTGATTGTGGTGCTAATAATAGTCTCATAATTATCCTTTACATTCAAATGTAGGTGAAGAATTTTTCTATATTTCACTGTAAGTCGATGTTTAATCTGAAACACAAGCATGTGTTGACTCAAGAGTGAACATGCTGTGGAAGGTGGCATTGATTTATTTGAGCTACTTCAGGCCCTTTTTAAGTCAATGACAATTAAATTTAACAATGTTTTTAGACATAATTGTATCTTAAGTGATACAGAATGAATGTGGCAAGTGTTTGTTTTTTGTTTTTTTTTTCAAATTTTTCAAATTCTTGTACCCCTGAATTAGTGCACTTTTTACCAATGTGCATTTGATAACGAAACTCCAGTCTTACTCTGGTTTTAGCACCTTGTGTAGAAGAATATATAAAAGAAAAATTCAGCTAGAGGCCTTTCAGCATAAAAGTACAGAAACTACAATTGCAACTTTATCAAAATACACATTCAGTACATATTGTTTGGGGTGTTACTAGTAACTTAACCTCTTGGTTTACTGCAGTGTCTTCCTGTACCCAAAGCCCATCTCCACTGGTGAAATCATTGAGTTGAAAAGCCCATAAGAGTGTTGCAGGTTATCCTAAGCTGTCATAAATCTTTAAACAAGATATAAGTACTTAAATTGCATAGATTTAGTGTAAATATAATGCATCTGTTCTATTGTACTGAACCCTATGACACACCAATCCCACCCTTTACTAAAAACCCGCCCCACCCCTCAGCAGATCCACCGAATGAATCGGTCAAAAAAGCGGGCTTTGTTCAGACTGGCAAAATCCTGATCCCTGAAAATGGCCGTCTGGTCTCCCAGCGAAAGCTTTGCTAGGATCTCCTTGTCAACGTCGCTGCCCATGGCAATCACAGTGGGAACGCCCTCAGCTCTGCGCATCGAGCTAATGCCTTCCTCCAGGTTTTTGCTGCTGGTGACCCCATCGGTGATGAAGACGAACGACAGCTCGGCATTTCGTCTAGCCAATCGGGTGCCTCCGCTCGTGACAATGTTGTTGACGCCGTAGATAATACCGCTTCCCACATTGGAAGTAGAATCCAGGTACCTCATGCTGGCAAGGCCATTAGTGACAAGGGTGAAGTTGTTGGTAAGTGTGAAGGCCAATTGATGTTGGTTTTCATCACCATACTGCAGAAGAGCCACCCTGACATTACGTTCATCGTTGTCTCCCCGGGCGAGGGTCAGGCGGTTAGCAACATTCTCCACAAACTCACGTGCATAGCGGAAATTCTCCTGACCCATGCGCTCTGAGCCATCCAGCATGAAGATGAGATCAACAGGCCGCTGGATGCAGTTGGTTACAGCTGGCTCTACAAAATACAAAAACAGCAATAATTGTCTTGGGTGACATGCTTTGCATTTAGAACTTCAAGCTTGATTTGCTCCAGTGGAAAATTCCTGAATTAAAATAATGAATGGTGAAAAAAACATGTGTTAGTTTACAGAGATAAAGTTAATTTAAGAGTATATAAATTTAACAAAATAAGCATTTCATTGCTAAAGATATTTATTTGTTACAAATAATTCAAGTTCATTAATTCATTTCTTGCAGTTCGAGAGCTTGCCATTTTTTCATTGCACATTTCTGATATAGTGTCATGTATATATATATATATATACTTGCTACTAAATATACATAATCTTGTATTACCAAGAAAAATCTCATTATTGACCATAATGGCAGACTGAAAAAAAAAAGTATTCTGAATTGTACACAGTCCATTTTTCTTTCACTCACTGACAGTCAATATCAGGACGTACATAGCTAATTCACTCTGATATGTATTTCCATTCAAAAAGATTCACTGAGATAATCAAACATGCAATATATGCCACATAAATTGCCATTAACAGTTAAGAGGCTACAAAAAGTATTACTGAATTGCCATTGTAGTACATAAATGCTATTAGAATTATATGTCAGAGACTCTCTAAAGCCTTCTGTTGCCTAAAAGCAGATTAACTATTGAGAAAATTAGAAAATATACTTCAATTTAACCAGAATAATTGTTGAATTATTTTTTAAAGAATAAAACTGTATGCTATAGCATTGGTAAAGCGGTTTATACAAAATCCCCAATTGATCACCATATAAATTATTTGTGTACATTATAGTGGGTCTTTGAAGGTCGACAATGGTAAAGTAGCACTAAAAAGCTCCATAGATATTTCACTAACCTCTGAGAAACTACAGGCTTGTGAATTCAGCCTTAATGTGCAAAGTGCAAAACTCACATGAATATAGTTTCAAAACGAATGGTTCATTAATGTACAGATGCTTTAAAGGAATAGATCAATCAAAAATAAAAAAATTCTTCTCTGCAACACTTCTCTGGAGTCTTTATTTTCCTTTCTGGAGTTTGAAATCCCCTGGTCACTATATGTTTTCATTGTATGGAAAGTTAAAACATTTCCTTTTGTGTTCCATGGAAGAAAGAAAAGAACGTCATAAAGGTTTGAAACAATGTGGATGAGTGAATGATGACAGAATTTTCATTTTTGAATGTAAACTACCCTTCAAGTATCAATTACCACTATCTTTCATATTCAAAACACCAAAGCGTCTCCCGCCATATTTATAAAAGATCAAAATGCCTTCAAGTCCTAGAGGCCCTGAGGATTCAAGCAAACCAGGCAAAGCTAATGACAGCATGCTATGCAAGCAAAGTGTCAAAGAGCTGTTCAGCTATTCAAAATGTGTTCATTTCATATATTTAAATTACAAAGCGGCAGGCATCGAGGTCAAGAGGCAAAGGTTGCCATTTCACATTTTCATATGTGGTTGGCCATGATGTTAACTATTTTACATGCTATTTCTTGCAAATGAAATTTTACATCTTTAAGAGCGGTAATAGCAACTGATTTTGAGTATTGTTAATGCAAATACTACATTCATGCATAGACCAGCTAGGGTTTTTACTTAACAACTCTACAGAGAGCACAACTCTACAGCGAGGCCAAGTCTATTCTTTCACTGAAGCTATCAGTTTGAATTTTTGAAAATGCCCAATCCCATGCTTCCTAACACAAGCCAAGAGCTTTGTTTGGGTCTCCTATCATATCAGAATAGATCTCTCTAAATGAGTCAATGAACAGATCAGTCCATCTCTGTTTGTCAGGTTCAGAGGACAGTTTAGCCATTTGGGCTGCGTAAGCCAATGTAGCTACAGCCTTGGTGTAGGTATCGGGGTGTTTGGCCTCTTGTGGATTGTTGATTAAGTTTGGGATGCTTAGTACAGTGGTTGGGATGGGACTGTCCTTCCACTCCTCTGCAAGGGCGTTATCTGCAAGTGAGTGTTAAAACAATAGTTTTAGGGCCTCCTAGCAACTGGCTCTGCCTAGTTGCTGTTTTGATTGATTTTAGTTTTTGATTTGATAACTTTTGCTTTGCACATTGTGCATTTAGCTGACATACTCACAAGGAAATGTCACTAAACAACTTTTTACACAACACTGTTTTGATAATTTGACATTTCTCTCGTGAGACTGGGCTGGTTATCACACATAACAAGTGTATGATTAATATTCATAACATATACATTTGAGATGTATAACCGTACAAATGTATAACATTTGTTATGTGTACTGAACCATAAATGTATACTAAAACAATGACTTTTTATAAATATGTTGATCATTTACCCCACAAACAAATACAGACAGTTCTGTGGATTTTATATTATTTTGCAGAGATAACATTATTATTATGACTTTTATAGGCCAAATACAACCTGTTTTTTTTATTATTATTATTAGCA